AAAGTCTCTTGCTCCCTGCCTCCGCCCTGCTTATAGAGCTGATGGTTGACTAAGTGCCAAGCCCCTTGCAGGGTGGGAGGAGACTTCACGCGCTCTCCCCGCCCCCAAGCCCTGATTGGCCCGGGGGTGAGGGGAGTGCGCCAAGTCTCCTCCCCTCCGCCCCTGTCCCGCAAGGAGCGTGCGGTGCTTAGAAGCGCTACACCCCTCTCAGGGCAGGAGGAGACTGCGCGCTTCCCCCGGTTCCCAAGCCCTAACTGGCCTGGGGTTGAGAGGAGTGGCAGGGCCTCCGTGGGCCAGATCAACTTGCTTGGGGGGCGGGGGCAGCCCGTGGAGGCTCTTTCGCCCACCCCAGGGTAACGGCTAAGAAACACAGGGGGTCCACAGTTATTAGCACAACCACTTTCTAACCTCCCCCCATGTTGCATCCCGAGCTGGCAGAGCCCCAGCGCGGCCTTGATTGACTAATCGAATAGTCGATTGATTTTGTATCGATTAGTCGACAGGGCGAGTCCACCTTTGAAGTGTAGCAACAGCCCCCCTTCGCTGGCCGCAAGGCGAGGCTCAGCTGTCGCCCCGGTGGGAATGACCGTCCCTCTGTGCGATGAGAGCTGATCCTGACTGGCGAGCGCTTGGGCAATGCCTTCTCCCTCTCCCCCCCCCGCAGAGCACCCTGAGGGATGCCCAAGAAGTTCCAGGGCGAGAACACCAAGGCGGCTGCTGCCCGCGCCAGGAAGGCCGAGGCGAAGGCAGCGGCCGATGCCAAGCGGCAGCAGGAGCTGGAGGATGCCCTGTGGAAGGATGAGGACAAACACGTCCTGAGGAAGGAACATAGGAAGGTAAATGGGTGAGGTGCTGGGAGGGGAACGTGGGTGCCCAGGAAGCTTGGGGCCGAAACTCCCCTTCCGGGAGTTGCTCCTGTTCTCCTGTGTCCCGGCTCCGGTGGGGCGGGAAGCCCCGTCCTGTAGCTTTTGAGGCCCGATAGCTAGAACTCGTGGCTACCCTGGGAGCGAAAGGAAGCAGAAGGTAACAGATGTGCAGCTCGAAGTGAGGATGGTAGAATCATAGAATCATAGGACTGGAAGGGACCTCGAGAGGTCATCGAGTCCAGCCCCCCGCCCTCAAGGCAAGGCCAAGCTCCGTCTACACCATCCCTGACAGATGTCACACCTGCGTGTGAGTCCGTGGGAATCTCACATCACAGCGCAGGGGGACCCCGGGTTACAGAGCAGACAGCCCCCCCACTACGCCGCACCTTCACATCCCTAGCTTAAAGCTGTGGTAGATGACAGGTGTGTTGTGAGCAAGACCGGAGAAGTCATTCTGCTCTACTCTGCGCTGGTTAGGCCTCAGTTGGAGTCTTGTGTCCAGTTCTGGGCACCACATTTCGAGAAAGATGTGGAGAAATTGGAGAGGGGCCAGAGAAAAGCAACCAGAATGATTCAAGGTCTAGAGAACATGACCTATGAGGGAAGGCTGAAGGAATTGGGTTTGTTTAGTTTAGAAAAGAGAAGACTGAGGGGGAACAAAATTTTGTTAGTTACAGATTAACATGGCTACCTCTCTGAGACTTTCAAAATGGTTATAGTATTACATTCACAACACAACTTTCAATGGCTTTTTAGTCTCAGATATAACTAGAACTAGTACCTATATACATTTTTATATTACCAGATTATTTAATTTACAAAGTACAGCAATGAAGGGAGAACATTAAATCCTTTCTTTTACGAAATTGCAAATATTCCATGGAGTTGCTTCATAGTATCCTACTACAGTTTTCACTTTGTCTATACAGGGCTTTATAGTGTGGCTACTTTACAAAGATACAAGGAATTTAGCGTCTACACTATAGATACAGGCACACATACATTGTCTCATAGATACCGCAAGAGGAAAGTCCAAATCCTGCTTTCACATTAACAAGTACAACTCTCACTGAATTCAGTGTGCTGTGTGCAAGTATCTAAAGTCAATTTGGCTCAATGACTTTAAAGACTTACCAGAAATTATTTCTGATGCAGTAATATTTATAGTATAGATTCTTTAACTATGTAAAGAAATTTCAATGAGGTTCAAGAATAAGGCTCCCTTGGGTCATTAATGGTGCAGGCCAGTGTTTTTCAATTTCAGGCCTGTGGACCCATGTCGTCCACAGACTATGTCCATGAGGGTCTGTAAAAGGTCATTGTTGCCATAGAACAGTGATTTTTCAACTGTGATCTGTGGACAACATGGGGGTCCACAGAGTACATCTAAGATTTCCAAAGGGGTCTGACCTACATTTCAAATTTTTAGAGGTTAACAACAACTCTCTGACTATGGTTATCCAGCCAATTATGCACCCATCTTATTGTGGCCCTATCTAAGTTATATTTGCCTAGTTTATCAATAAGAATATCATGCGAGACCGTATCAAATGCCTTACTAAAGTCTAGGTATATGACATCCACCGCTTCTCCCTTATCCACAAGGCTCGTTATCTTATCAAAGAAAGGTATCAGATTAGTTTGGCATGACTTGTTCTTCATAAACCCATGCTGGCTATTCCCTATCACTTTATTACCTTCCAAGTGTTTGCATATGATTTCCTTAATTACCTGCTCCATTATCTTCCCTGGGACAGACGTTAAACTGACCGGTCTATAATTTCCTGGGTTGTTCTTATTCCCCTTTTTATAGATGGGCACAATATTTGCCCTTTTCCAGTCTTCTGGAATCTCCCCTGTCTGCCATGATTTTTCAAAGATCATAGCTAAAGGCTCAGATACCTCCTCTATCAGCTCCTTGAGATAAATGTCTATCAGGAATGGTCTAGACAGTATTTGGTCCTGCCATGGGGCGGGGGACTGGACTCGATGACTCTCGAGGTCCCTTCCAGTCCTAGTATTCTAGGATTCTATGACTGAGCTTGGACCAGAACGGCTCTTCCTGAATCTGTCCAGGTGGTGGCAGTAAGGTATGGATTGGTCTGCATGTGAGCCCCGCGCCGGATCTTCTAATTGCCTGCCAATGACAAACGCGGCTTGGTAGAGAAAGGAGGACGCAAGCCCTGGGGATAGAACGCCACAGGAGGCGTGGTGGCTTTTTCTGTTGATAAAACGCTTCTCCTCCTCCGTTCTGCTCCCGGCAGTTGCTGACCACCCGAGCTCTTGCGTTGTGGACTGTTTAAGCACTAACGAGGCTGCCCATATGGTGGCAGGGAATCAAGGCCAGGCTGACGTGCTTGTGCCTGTCATTGGGTGACTCAGCTGGGGCACTTGCGCTTGCTGGATCTTTAAGCGTACAGCGTTTTGTGACGCTCCCTGCTAATGGATGGCAGGATGTCTGTCTCGGCTTGGCTGCATAAGGGCACGCCTGAGCTAACGGACGTGGGTTTCTATGCTCCACTATTTCTAGCAACAAAGCACTTCTTGCCCCTTTTCCTAGGGGATTCGAGGTTGTGCTCGTACACGGGGGGGGCAAATCACACAAACGAGACGCGGGCAGCGTGGCCCAGTGGTTAGGGCACTGAACTGGAACGTGGACCTGGTTTCTGTTCCAATCTGCAGCGGCCATGCAGCATGGCCTTTGGCCCATCCCCTCTCTGTGTCTCTGCATCCCCTCCTGTCCTTTGCCGGGTCCGTTTCGGATCCACGCCCCTCGGGGTGCAGTTTGTCTTGCTTTGCACTAAAACTGGCCAGCAGGAGGGAGCCTGTATGTGCTACTGTCTGAATACAGATAGAATCCTAGAACACTAGAGCTGGAAGGGACCTCGAGAGGTCATCGAGTCCGGTCCCCTGCCCTCATGGCCGGACCCAGCACTGTCTAGACCATCCCTGACAGATGTCTATCTAAGTGCTCTTAAATACCTCCAGAGATGGAGATTCCACTGTCGGGGCTGTAAAGTGCCCGTACCCCTCTAAATGTAGCTCTGTTGCCTTGCTCAGGCTCCAGATCCTGCCGTTTCTGCTCAGAGGGCCGAAGGAAAAGGCCCCTTGTACCAGGCTGCAGTGCAAATGCAGACAATATGTCTGTCCTCAGCCACACTCGTCTCCCCCCCTCCTCCTCCCTCGCTGAGCACATCCCACCTTGCACGCCGGGCCAGCCTGTTGACTCAAGGCATTCCCTTCGCCCTGCCCTGCTAAAGCGCCGTGTGTTTATTTTTCCTCTTGCAATTATCGAAAGCGCAGGCTGGCTGGGGAATGCTGAAGCCATGCGCCAAGTGAGTCTGCAGGTAGCGCTGAAGGATGACGGATTATCAAAACAAATCTACCAAGTATTAGGGGAAGAGTCGTCAAATTGACTAACTGTCTAGGGCTCCCGTGACACCCGCGCTGCTGCCTGCCCCGAAAGCACAAAGCTAACATTGGAAACGCTCTCCGGCTTCAGAGGCTTTTGCTGATACCTCTCTGGAGAGCAGATGTCCTTCAAAAGAAAACTCTGCGGGGGGGGGAGGCCCGGCGAAAGGGAAAACCAATGCAAGAATAACACTGAGCACTCCATTTATTTACAGCTTTATACATCCAGCGCTGCTAAAATGCGGCTGATTCTGAGTAGGGATGTAATAGTGCAGTCCAGTGTTTCCCAAATAGTGCTCCGCTGAACCCTGGGATTCCGCGAGAGCCTGATCACACACCCCGCCCTGGCTGCCCCAGAGCCGGTCTCAGGGACAGGCAAGCTGGGCAGTTGCCCGGGGCTGCCTTTTTCAAGGGGCTGCTGGCCACTGTGGTCTGAGGAGTGGGCCGTTGTTTTTTTTTGGTTGACCAGTTTCCTCCAGCATGGGGAGGTTTTTTTGTTTTTTTGTTGCACGCACACACGTACACACACAGAGACAGACACACGCACACACACACAGACACACACAGCCACGCACACACGTACACACACAGAGACACACACAGCCACGCACACACGCACACATGCCAGTAAATTTTTTAGCCGGCTGGCCAGCAGCCTGGTACAGTCCCAGCTTGCGACAAGTTGGGAACCTCCCTCTGCTGCAGCTCTGCATTTAAAGTGTATTAGGAACCGGGTGGGCAGGCAGCCTGGCTCAGTTCTGGCTCACGCTGGGTCTGAGAGCTCAGACCATCCCTGGACAGGCAGCCCGGCTGTGAGG